TCTCAACGTTTCTGGCCCAACTGCAGGATTATGAACATTAAGGTTGATCATATCCTACACTTAAATTACAATTTGGAGCATTATTATCTTCAGTTCCTATGAATGGTTTTTGAAGTATACTTTTTATTTTTTGGAAATAAAGACATGTTTAAGGGAGTGATGTTAAGATTCTGGGGCCAATTTTTTTAATTACAAAAACTCCTATACATTATTAACTGTTTCATGAACCTTACACCTTCCGCATTCTCTCAGTATTGAACATGGTTTGAAAGCACTAGCAATTTTAGAATATTGATTCTTTAGCTCATGTATGTACATAATCACTAGAGACTCCATTTGTATGCCTGCTTCAAACCTCAGCCCTTAAAATGATTTTAGGTAATACAGCTAAAATGACATGATGTGATACAGACTTCTGATGGTTTCTTTTAATATAACAATTCTAAAATATTAACTCCTTTTTACCTTCAGAAACTCTTTTTATATATTTATTTTTAAAGAAACCTTGACTTTACTGTTTGTCCTAGATATTATACGAAAGCAATGCAATCCCAGTTCAACTAAGATTAGTTAACTAAACTCTGCATACACCCACATAATAGAATGTTTTCAGCCACTAAAAATGTTGACTACAGTCAGAATCACTTGTAAAACTTTTAAAAGATACACTTGCCTGGGAATGACCTCAGGAAATTTGATTGAGATATTGTTAAAGGGAAGATGAGGAATTAGTTTAGGATTGACCCTGGGCACCTTTATTTTTAATAAGTTCCAGTAATTCTAATGCACAGCTAAGGATGAAAATATACACAGTATACAAAATAATCCTGTGTATAATATGGTTCCACTGGGAAAAAAAAAACAAAGTTAACAATGATTATCTCTAATGATGTTACATACAAGCAACAATTCTAGAATGCCTAAGTTCCAGAGATCCAAACTTGTGCTTGTAAGTCAGTTCTCTTTTATTCAGTGGGTCAATTATGCATGGTTAGTAGAGTTCCTCTAGATAAAAAGGACATTCCTTCCATTTCCACTGGTAATTTAGGATTGATATGTGTACACGGATATATCCGAAATTTCTGGTTCCTCTACTTACCCTTCAAAATCTTTCCGTGTCCTGAGTCTGGTAGATACATTAAACTTTGACATGCAGACCTGGCTATCCACTTAGAAAGGAAAAATGGAAATAAAGCTAAGTGCTAAATAAACTCTCTCTAGGTCACGTTCTTAGAGATTTTATGGCCCTGATTGTAGGCTAATGTTGGCTAAAAGAGGCCGTGAATCCAAACGGCCTCGCGCAGTTAGAACAAATTTTGCTTAGAACTCCAGAAAATAGACCTAGTTATCTCTCTGCTCAATATGTCGCCCTCACACATGCTTTCAGGTCTTTCATTTCAGATGACATTAACCTTTGAAGAATCTTCCAACCAGTGCACTTTCAGTGTCTTCATATTTCCCTTAATTAATATGTGTGGGTCACTATTTCTGGAGTCTTGGCTTTCAAAGGTATTTGGTTCCCAGGACTTACGCACACTTAGTTGTCTGTAAAATTGTCCTTGATCTTACGCATGAAGATCTGAACTGATACCCATCAAGGCTAAAGTACCATTTTCAGTTAAGCAGCTGTCATCTTATAATTGAGTTAGAAGAGTCAGTGGCACTTTTATTCTTATTGGAGATAATATCCCCTTGCATTCTCACAAGACTGTGTTTTTGCCATGTTTGTCACTATCCCAAGGCTGCCTTTGTTTATTCTGCCTGTCCAAATCACACACTTAAATGTGGTTGTTGTTGTTATTATCCCCTAGCTCTCTGCCCCTCAGATCCTTTATTTCTTTGGTGTATGATGGCAGAAAAAGAAAGGAGTGGGAATTTCTTTTAAGAGGCAATTTAAAAATATTTTTCCATATTCTGTTTTGTGTAGTGATGAAATCTCTACCATAGTCATAGTCATATGTGTATCTTGTGCTCAGTGGACCTTATTCTTACTCACTGTGGGTGAGGTCTTATTTTGCAAAGCCAGGCACAATAAATATGAATGGAGTAAACCCAGGAAATGAACTTTTGTCAGCCTGATCTTTTCTCAGTTTCCCCTGCTCTACTGGCAGCAGATCTTTCAAGGAAATTGTCCAACTACTACTTTATTTTAAGGCATCTACTGTTATAGATTTACATTTTATTATGACATTCCTTTTTTGCTGGAGGTATTTTTCATTTCAGCTTGCAGTGAATTTCATTAGGTGCTATAATTATATAAATATTTAGATATCATACTCTTTCTTTAGGATATGAGAAAGATGGTTAGTTTCTGTTTTCACCCTGTACCAATAATTTACTTAGCATTTAAATGAGATCTTGGGTTTCTGGAGGAATATATGAGTCAGTGAGAATAAGTTTTTACGACAGGGAACTCTGAGGAATTTTACTACCACTTAAAGATACTGATTTGTTTCTCACTATAGAAACAAAAACACATACCCAGGAAAAGTTTAACGTGAGGCAAATAACTGGTGCTTAAAATAGTATGTCAGAATGAGAAAAAATTCAGAAAATAGTTAGAGAACTTCTACTTTGAGTAATTAAGATGTGTCCTTTACAAAGGAAATTATAAGATCTGTTTGCATCAATCAGCAAGGGCCCAGGCAAAACATTTGTCTTTCCTAGTTCCTAAGGAAAAGTCACAAAGATTGTGTACTACTGTCTTTATGGTCTATTCCTCTCCCAACAGGTCTCCGTCCTGTCCTTACCTGAATCTTGTGTATATTAACATTTCATTTTATAAAATTTATGATAGTCCACTCTTTTCTCAAAAATGTTTTTGCCTTGTTTCACAGCAGTACACACACTGCATTAATTTAAAAAAAAGATCACTGTTGGTGTCTCCTGCCAGGATCCTGACAGCTCAGTGCTTTCCTTCAAGCTCTGTCCTGAGCCTCCTCTGTGGATCCTATTTTCACCCTTGGCACTTTCGTCCACCCTTATGGCTCCAGGGTTCACTTGTTGAGTGATTCCCAGTCTGTAATTCTCTAGCCTTTTTCTTGAACAAGGATTGGGTGATTCCAACTGTCACTGGATATTTCCATCTGGATTTTGAGCTGACGCCTTGAACTCACATTGTTTTGCATTCAACGGTTTAATTCTTAGAAAAAGTGCACTTGGCCATGTTGATTTATTACCAGAATGATCAATTTTAGGAAAATTGTTTTTAACGTAGTCTGCCTATAATAAGGTAATCTAACGGGGGAAAACCATATGATCATCTTCATAAGTGCAAAAAAAGCAGAGGAGTTGGGCCTTTGGTTTGACAAGCCCGCATGGATTGGCAGAGAATGTTTACATATAAAAGAGGGGAGGAGGATGCAGTCAGGTAGAAAACATTGTGGATGTCCATAGAATGGTATAAGCAGATTGGTAAAAATGAATACAACAAATTACATCATATGCCAAAATAAATTTAAGATACATAAAAGACAAAGACCTGGCACTCCCACCTCAGGGCTTTTCAGTTTCCCTTCTGGAAGGAAAGATCTCTTGGGAGTACTGTGGAAGGGAAGAAGGACATCCTTCATTCAACTTGAGTGTTGAGTCAGTAGAAGTAAAATCCCTCTTCTTCCTTCAGTTTTTCTTGCCAGAAATTTAGGTTTGGTAACGATATGAGTTTCTGTAATTTGTGAACTATTGTAGCTTCCAATTGATTCATTCCTTCCAAAATATCTTCTCTATCCTAGGCTTACTGCATTCTCTGGTAATAGAAACAAAGCCTCAGGTTATAGCAAGTCCATTTTCCAGCCATCTTCTCCTTGTTAGTTTTTTAAACGGTGTTATGAAAAGCTCGAGATTTAATTTTTAGGCTTTCATTCTTTTTTTTTTTTTCAGTATAGCGAATAAAAGATTTTTTATTTCCCTTGAAAGTTGTTTAAGTCAGGATGGCACACAGGTACCTTGTGTTTCCTAATCAACCACATTTTGCAAGTCATGGTGCTATAGTCTGATGTGGGACATTTTTTAATTTATAAATATTCGTGTTGCAGATATGCATGTTAGCAATAAATGTTGTTTTATTAATTGTGTCAGACAGACCAAAAGGGCTAAAAGCAGCTTTGCAGACACTGGAGACCTAAGATCATTTTTGGCTATTTAGCATTTTACGTGTGAAGATGACTTGTAAACTGCTGTTGCATACCAGGCAACATTTCTAATGAGGATCAAAGGGGATGAGTGAAAGCCAAACCAGGAAGGGGAGCTCATGCTCAATATTGGTCGTAGGTAATGATGTCATTTATTTTTAATTTTCTCTTTGTTTTACCCCTGAACTTGTATTTTTATTGATGTCTTTGAAGCACAATTACTAGGAAAGTTAGAAAAATGACATTGTGTAAGTTTCAGTATCCCTTTAACAAGTGCACAGTGCTCATCCTACAGAGTAATTTTAAGTCTTCTCATTTTGTCAAGATATGTTTTCCACTTTTATTCTTCTTTCTTGGAAAATTGTTTCTCCCCGTACATCCTGGTGATTACTGTTGTTCTTTTAAGATGGTAATAAACTTGGGTTATGGATCCTTTTCCCATGTTTTGACCACTCGCTGTGGCTTCTCTGCAGTGTTGTGCAGTGTTTTGTAGTACTCAGCACGCTATGGAAATCTGAAAGGGAATGTACTATGAATATATAACCTGGAGCTTTCATTTTATACCTACATAATGCTCTCACTACTTTAAAAGGGCTCTTCCATTTAAAAAAGAAATGTATGTGCAGTATTTGGCTATTAATTATTATTTTCTCCTTTTGTTATATATCAGCTTAATACCCTACCAAATCAAATCATTAAGTCACACTCATCTTAAGGAATAAGATAATTAATACAAGAGCATTCTATCATGAGAGTTTTGAATCATCTTTGTTATACAGCTATTCTACTGTTCAAAGATACAGTCTCTTGTGACATTTGTATACAAAAGTGTAATTTGCATTCACATTCATCTATCATTTTCTCTCACAGTTGACTTCAAACCTCATGCCAGCATGGATACTGTCCATCATATGTTACTTTTTGGATGCAATATGCCTGCGTCCACCGGAAGTTACTGGTAAGAAAAATGGGCTCATAGCACAGAGGGGTATTTAAAAAAAAGTGTGTTTCTTATCAGTACAACATGCATCTGTGTGGATATTTTACAATGGATTAATAAATGGGCAGAATATTTCTTTTTTAGAAAAAGCATTGTTCATTTCTATCACGTGGTTAAAATGGTTTTATTGTCACAGTTACTGTAGTCTGCTCTGGAGCATATCCATCAGTCTTTGTTACTGCCTGTCTTAGTCATCTAGTGCTGCTCTAACAGAAATACCACGAGTGGATGGTTTTAATAAGGAGAAATTTATTTTCTCACGGTCTAGTAGGCTAGAAGACCAAATTCAGGGCATCAGCTCCAGGGGAGGGCTTTCTCTCTTTGTTGGCTCTGGAGGAAGGTCCTTGTCATCATCGGTCTTCCCCCAGACTAGGAGCTTCTCTGCACAGGAACCTCAGGTCTGAAGGATGCGCTCTGCTCTGGTGCTTCTTTCTTGGTGGTATGAAGTCCCCCACTCTCCACTTGCTTCCCTTTCCTTTTATCTCTTACAAGAGACAAAAGGTGGTGCTGGCCACACCCCAAGGAAACTCCCTTTACATTGGATCAGGGATGTGACCTGGGTTAGGGTGGTGTTATAATCCCACCGTAATCCTCTTTAATGTAAAATTACAATCACAAAATGGAGGACAACCACACAACACTGGGAATCATGGCCTAGGCAAATTGATACATACATTTTTTGGGGGTAACAATTCAATCCATGACACTGCCTTAATAAATACATGTCTGTTGTAGAAGATAGTATATCAAGGTGCAGATGGCTTGTAAAGCAAGACTGAAAATTTAGATAATGGATATTTTGATGCTTATTTTTTAAAGTTCATGATTCTACCCAAAGAGCATGATAGCTCCAATCACAGAGCACTTTTTTGTCCCAGACACTGTGATAGGTGATCCGCACACTATTTCATTTTATCCTAAGAACTCTGCAAATCAGGTATTATTATACCCCTTTTACAGACAAGGAACTCGAAGCTCAAAGTGATTCAGTAACTTGCTCAACATAACACAGGTGGTTGGTGTCAGACCAGGGTTGAACCCTAGGGTATCTGGTTTCAAATCGGAAGTTATTTCTTACCTTATTGCACAATCTCCCTTTTATTCAGGTTAACTTTTGCAATTTTAGAATTTATTGTAATCAGTGTTGTGAGTCTAATGTCATGTTTTGAATAATCAGTAAACATCTATTAAATGGCTGTCATATGCCAGAGCTGTTGCAGATGTTGTGGAAGATTCTAGGATAAATAAGATATGTTTTCTACCCCAAATGCTTACCATAATTGGGGCTTGAGATCTTTTCTTTCATTTCGTTCTTTGGCATTCTTGTCCTTTTAGATCAGTGTACTCTGAAAGTAGCCATGCACTTTAAGCTTCATATTTTTCTTCCACACCCAGAATTATGGTTATGTATTTAATAGGCCAGATGACTGGCATGTCTTACTTTGCATTGGAAAGGTCTTGTCCCTACATAATCATGTAGACGGAGACCCTTCTTTTTTTTAAAGTTTTTTTTTATTGTACTTTAGGTGAAGGTTTACAGAACAGTTTCTCCTTACACAGTCAGTACACATATTGTTTTATGACACTGGTTAACAAACCCACAACATGTCAACACTCACCCTTCTCCACCTTGGAGTACCTTTTTTCTTTTTTTGGTGAAAATATACATAGCCAAAGTTACACCATTTCAAAAATTTCTACAGGTACAATTTGTTGACATTGACTGCGTTCTTCCAGTTGTGCTGCTATTCTCACTGTCCTTTTCCAGATTATTCCATCACCATTATCTTCAACTCACTGCCCCCTAGGCTTCCCATCAAACCTTTTGAGTTGCTGTTGTCAATTTGATCTCACATAGATAATTCTTTTTTTTTTAGATGAAGTTTTACAGAACAGAATAGTTTCTCATTAAACAGTACACATATTGCCCTATGACAATGGTTAACAACCCCATGACATGTCAACACTGTCCCTTCTCAACGTTGGGTTCCCTATCACCAGCTTTCCTGTCCCCTACTGCCTTCTAGTCCTTGTCCCTGGACTGCTGTGTCTCATTAGTCCCGTTCTG